AGTGATGAAAGGAATTTTTACTTAAAGCTTAACAAGATCGTGCTTTAAAGTATTCAAAGATGTTCCTTCACACCGTTTTATCATAAATCTAATTTTTTTTTATGATCTTATGCTTTTGCATTAATGTACTAAGGGGCCAGGGGGGGGGGGGGGATGGTCAGCAAGAAAAAAATTATAGAAATTCCTGGAAATCCATTGTTCTTTTATGAAAAATGACCGTTAAATTCGGACGTCATAAGTGAACGACCCCTTATGTGAATTTTAAGTATTGAGGGAAGAAATTGATGAAGAATCAAAGAACCAAAGTGTTGGTGATTCTGCATTCAATTTATCAAAAACAGCACGACCAAAAAAAATAATAATTTATTGTCATTCTCATGTTAACATCTTAAAACTTTTTATTCACCAAGCTCAAACCACAGCAAAAAAAAAATACGGAAAGTCCTTGGAAGATGTTTGCATTCGACAGGACTCGATATAAAATGGAAAAAAATACATGCACAACAGCAGACAAAGTTTGGAATTTTCCTGAAAATATTGAAATTCAATTTATGTGAGGAGCTAATGCTATGCAAATGATAAAGAAAAAGGAAAACTTCTCGGATGGAAAATTAAGTGTGGGAGATGGATAAAGAGATATTTTTATATCAGCAATTTTTAAGCTCAATATTAGCACAAGAAGAAAAAGAAATTAATGCACACAACCGCAACGATTATGTGATCTTAACCGTCCTCATTCCATTTTCATACTTAAATATAAAAGCGTGCATAATTTTAGATTAAAACCTACTTACATCTGCATAGAAAATTTTTTCCTTTTCACTCTTCTTATTTCATTATTTCTTTCAACAATTTTTTCAAGAGTACTCTACAAAATATATGTATATTCCTTATAAATTATGCATTTTGCACTAAGACGTAATCTTTCATTTCATTAATATTGCATGAAAAAGCAAAAAGCTCATTTTACGCTATTGTGTGCTTAAAAAGAATATTATGCATATAAAAGTGCATTATGATGGTTAAAGGCATTCACCGTCTTCGTTAGATGATGAATGGAAGAGGTTTTAAAGCTTTCACATCAATAGCATTTACATTGAATGAATCACACTCATTACTCAAAAGGAAATAAATAGGATGACGTATAGAAATATGGAAAAACACAGAACAGCAGGAAATAATTAGTTTTATGATTCGAGATAATTATGACACAGTTTTATGATGTTACGACTTTGGATATGAACAGAACTAGCAAGCAAAGCGACAAGTCTCACCATCTGATAAAATTTGTTCAAGCGCGCTCCTTAGAAATTATGATTGTGAATATTGAATAGATATGTTTATCAACGATAAACGACGTCCGGATTAAATCTACAACTAAATATATTTCCTCACAGTTAAGGTTCCATCATGAGATTAACAATCCAAAATGTATCTCAATTTGAGTTTCCAAGTCGATTCAATTTTTTTCGAGTCATTTTTGAGTCGACTCAAGTCAACTCGGAAAAAATGAAGTCGTCTCAAGAAAAATCGAGTCGACTCGGTTTGGGGCCGTTCACTTATTACGTTCGCATTTTAGGGGGAGGGGGGGTTTGAAAAATTGTAACAAAATGTAACATAGGGGGGGGGGGGGGGGTGTCAAGAAGTATGTAACGTTCTAAATGTCGTCTGTCTTTTAAAAAAAAAGTTCACGAAAAAAATTTGTTTACAAATTCACACCAAAAACATTTTTTTAAATTTTCCACCTTTTTAATGATAAAATAAATTATAAACGTTCGGGGGGGTTGTGAGTTGTAACATATTGTGACAAAGGGGGGGGGGAGGTGAAAAAAGCAGAGGTCGAAGCGAACTTGGTTCGCCAAGTTCGCTTCGCTAAAAATTCAACTTGCCAAAGTCGAACTGTAGCGAGAAAAATTTTTTTCTATTCGCCTTAGCGAACCATAGCGAACTCAATTTTATTTTTTTCGCTTTAGCGAACTATTAGCGAACTTAATTTTTCAAAGTTCGCTATAGCGAACTATTGGCGAACTATAATTTTTTGCAATTTTGTATGAAATTACATACTTCACAAACGCAATTAGACATCTCTTAATATGAAGCCAAAAAAATTTTTCTAGTTCGCCAATAGTTCGCTATAGCGAACTTTGAAAAATTAAGTTCGCTAATAGTTCGCTAAAGCGAAAAAAATAAAATTGAGTTTGCTATAGTTCGCTAAGGCGAAAAGAAAAAAAAAATTCTCGCTACAGGTCAACTTTGGCAAGTTGAATTTTTAGCGAAGCGAGCTCGCTAAAAACTCGCTTCGCTATGCTCGCTTCGACCTCTGGAAAAAAGTCATTTTTTTGCGTAACGGAATAAGTGAACGGCCCCTTTTGAGTCGAGTCCAAGGGAGTGGTGCTGATGAAATGATCAAAAATTATCAAAAGTGATCAAAAATGATTAAAATGTAATTATTCAGTTCCGCACTCTTGGTCAAGTCGAGTCAACTCGATTCAACTCGAACCCTAGCGACTTCGAGCTCTGATCTCAAACATTTATTGTAATTAGATCCCATCACCAGACTTATATGACTACACATCCACAAAGGAGAAAAAATCATGGCTTTATGTCTCTTCAGGGAATTTTTCTATTTTCTCCTCGTGTCTCTAATTATTTCTTTTTTTAAAAACGATACTTTTCGCTTCATTATAAAATAAAGAAAAAAAGTTCCCATGTATTAATTAAATTTTCATTTTCATCATGAAAATGAAACGCAATGTTAGCGCTTATGAACGAGAAAAAGAAGGAAGGAACAAAAATGTTTGTACCAGATATTTAATTACACATTATTTTACTCTGTGCTGTTGCGTGTGCATTGTTATTTCATTTTTTATCGTACCGTTCTCCTTTTTATAAATTTTCTCTAGGAACTAGATGATTTTTATGCCAAGCGAACACACGTTTTTTGAAATAATTCGAGCACTTTGGGATGTTATTAATAATAATAATGTGTGAAGGGCCCAACCTTTCAGCTGGAGGCACTACGATTCAATTTGTAAAAATTCTATTGTACCATACCCCTTAGACCTACAGTTTATAGTGGAATCCGGAACCACTTGCAAGCTCTGCACATTGCAAAGACACGAGTACGTCATAAGAACTGATGTACCCTGCAATGAACCTAGTCACAACTAGTGTGCGCAAGATGCCGTAAGGAAGTCATCCAGATGCTAGTATATCCTTGTATACCTAGCGAAGGAGGCATATTCTTTGCCAAAAGCATCAAATACTACACCCAACACACGAACTGAGCTTCGTAACTAGAACGGTGAAATGGAAAAAGAGCTTCGAAAATTAGACATGGCCTGGGATTGAACCCAGGACCTTTGGCACGTAAGGTCAACGCTCTACCATTTAGGCTACTGATGCCATTTCACCACTTTGGGATGTTATTACATTTAATCATTTTGATGGTTTGAAAGTGAAGAATGGTTGTCAAACCTACCCTCACCTGCATGTATACGCGACTAAAGTATGACATGAGCATATGCGTCTTATTAAATAGCATCTTAAAAAAATATTCACAATCAACCACATAAAAAAGAAAATACATACTTTTTTAATAGCATAAGAAGTCGGTTGGGGTACTTGCTTAATAATAATTACACAAAAAGATGGAAAATTTTCATTTTATTCTCATTCCTTGTTATCTAAAACCCTAACTAGAGCGTACAAAAGGGGGGAGAAATGGAAATCCCTTAAAGGGATCGAAGCACATACAAAACGTTCGCTATATAACAGTAACAGTAACAAAAGGGAAAATGAAAGAAAAATATGAAAAACGTATGAAGGGCAATCATGAATGAGGAACGTGCTGGGGGAGTAAAAGACATCATGGAAAATGAGCAATTTGAATTAATTTTAAAATAATTATTTTTTTCCTACCAAAATTAAAACAATAAATAAAATTAAAAATACGAAAAACATCTTGTCTAGTGGAGCAATGAAAATAATAGCAAGCGTTTTTAGGCGTACGAACTAATGACGAATGAAGCTGCGTTCATAAATTAAGGGATCTCGTTCGCTCATGTTCGCTACATTATAGTAGCGTAATTTTTAATGCCGTTTCTGTGATAAAATATGTTGCTACTTGAATACTTAAACTAACAAGGAATGGCAAATAAGAATCACTAAAGAATTTTTTATTAAGTTTGCTTAAAACAGAGTACTAAGCGCACAAATCAAAGTTTTTACTTAACAAAATGGCGAATATTTTTTCCATGTTTAATAATTTTTCTTAAGAAACTACTTTAAATACTCCTATTTTAACTTAAAAATCTATAATTTAAGATTCATGAAAGTGGCATCAACCAGCTAAATGTAGGTAAAACTCTCAAAGCCTTTTATAAGTTCAGTTCTGAGTAAAATACACCCCGTACTCAAAATGAGCATAGCGATCTCATTTTTCACTTATAATGTTTCAAAAAATGTGAGAATGTTCATGTTCATTTGCAAAAAGAAGATAGAATTGCTCGTAAATTATAAAACGATTAAAATTTTTTAATGTCTTTCCCTTCTCTTTCTCATTTTTCTCCACTTTTTTTGCTAATGAGAGTAATTATAACATTAAAATAATTTAAATTTCATTTCTAAGTAGGAAAAAAAATTGCTGAAAAGTTCAAGATGATTTAATTTGATATCTTATTCTTTTCTCTTTGGATATCTCTATTGCTTAAGAAGCTAAATGTCTAATTGGTGAAATATTTTGAAATTTGTAAAGAGAAACTTTATAAAATATGCTACGTCTTCTTTATTCCTTATAATTTGTATAAATTTTACTGGAATTTATTGTATTCTTCAACATATTGTCTTGTTTAATTAATTCAAATAGCCCCACAAACAGTAAAGCCGAGTTTTGAATTCTTTCATGAGCTAATATGCGATCCTTTAAAATTAACGTTTTTTTAAAATTCAAATGTGATCGGTTTTTGGCGCGAAAATTTTTTCTACGCTTTGGATCAACAAAAATACTGATCATTTTATTAAAATTAAATTTTCGTGTATTTAACTTAATTAACATGTCTATTTTACTAGCTGATATTGATGCTACTTGCTCAAGCCTTGGATATAACGACGGAAGTAAATATAACATTGAAGATGATGCTTTACAGTCATTAAAAGTAAGTTTTCGTGATATTTGTGAAACAAAAATAATTAATTTTCTCTTTTCTGTTAATTATAGCATCTGATATGGATTTTAAGACGTGACAATCTGGATACTCACGAATATAGACGATATATTGGTCATAAAAAAGTAATTCAAACAGATTTATTGCCAATGTTAATTGATCATTGTAATCATTCGGAACTTGCTGATGTTCTTCTTCGATTGTTGGTGAATTTAACAAATCCAGCTATGCTATTCTTCAGAAGTGATTTACCAAAGGACAATGCTGGTCGTAGAACGTACCTGGATCTCGTAGAAATATCTCACACCTACAAAGAGGCATTCGCTAATTCATCAGCTGTTTGGAAAACTTTAGCAAAGAGACTTCAAAGAATCATCGAAATTGTAAGTAAATTAAATTAAGGGTCAGAAACTCCAAAGTATTGTACGGTATTGTACAATACTTACAATACGTGGTCTTTATGAAAGGAAAAACCACTAAAGAAATCGAAGCAAGTCTTCAGGTGACACTTGACAAAATAAAGACTGACATGAAACAGAAAGGACTTGAAATCTCTAACGACAAGACAAAATGTATGCTTTTTTCGACCAAACACAAAAAGAACCTTGTACTTCCTAAATTTACAGTAGACAGACAAACTCTGGAATGTGTGAAGAGATTCACTTTTCTTGGGGTTACTTTCGACAATACCACATCAAAGACAAAACGAAACATGAAAGTAATAAAAATGCTTTCAAACACTACATACGGATCTGACAGAAAAACATTGCTAAAATTACATGACGCACTTATTACTTCCATAAATACTTATGGAGCATTAGCATTAAATAACATGACCAAAGAACAAGACAAAAAACTCAACACGGTACACATAAAATGTCTAAAGTACACAATTGGTGCTTTCATAACATCACCGATTAAAAGTGTGGAGGTTGAAGCAGGAGTGCTCCCTATGAAGCATCAAAGACATTTACAACGAACTAAATATGCCTGTAAAGTCCTGACAAACACCAAACATCCATTATACGAAAACTTAAAAGACAACAGCAAAGATCACAAATACTCACAACGAACGAAACCTCCAATAACTTACTCAATGAGACAAGACCTAAGGAATTTGAATATAGATAATGACACAAAGATTAATAAGACACAATTAACACATCTTCCACCTTGGACAAGAACCAAGCACAAGTATGACATATCACTAACAAGATTTGACAAGAATAACACACCAGACGAAGAATTTAAAGTAGAGTTCAACAAACTAAAACAATACATGTACGAACCTTACTACACGGACGGATCGAAAACTGACGATGGCAATGGATGTGCTGTGATTGAGGGAAGTGACGTATACAGATATAAGTGCCATTCGTACAGCTCTGTGTACAGCACTGAACTATTCGCGATATCCAGAGCTATTAAAATTGCTGACAGGAAAAAAAAGGCCAAAGTTGCTTTATGTACAGACTCACTTAGTGCAGTATTAGGGATACAAGACAGACAGACAAAACATCCAATGATTATTGAAATTCAGGACCAACTAATGAAAACAGACACAACATTTATCTTTATGTGGATCCCCAGCCATGTCGGTATTATCGGAAACGAGAAAGCTGACATGGAAGCAGAGCAAGCAACCAAAGAACAAGTCTCTCCTCAATACTTTATAACACATACAGACATTGACAGAAGCATTAGAGAACGTACTTGACACAAATGACAACTAGACTGTAACGAAGAAATTGACAGACAAAATAAATTAGGAAGCTTGAAAAAGACCATTGACAGATGGAAGACTATAGACTTTCTTAACAGAAAAGACCAAACTGTAATAACAAGACTAAGGATAGGACACACAAGATTGACTCATGAACATTTAATTGAACGTACGAGCACTTTGACCTGCAGATGTGCGGAACCACTAACGGTGAAGCACATCCTCGGCTGCAGCCTTGACAAACAACAACAAAACAAATACAAAATCGACTTTGACACTCTTAAAAATGATAATAAAGAAAAGCTAATCTCAGTCGTGAATTATTTAAAAGAATCAGACATCTACGAAAAGATTTAATCCACACTAGCTATGCTTCAACTGAAAAGAAATAATTGTAAAATTTATGTAAATATTGAAAAATTTATCTTAAAGGTTTTTATGCAGTTTGAAATAGTTTAAGTACTTTTTCAGGCGGATTTTTCTTTTAAAAATATAAATATATGGAAAAGTAAAGGTCCTTTAATTTAAATACGGACCATAATGAATATAATAATAATAATAATAATAATAATACTTACAATACTTACAATATAAGTATTGTAGGATTGTACAATACCTACTTGCCATATAAGTATTGTGCAATACTTATAATACTTTTCATATAAATTTACAATACGTTACAATACTTACAATACTGAAATTTAATTATTCAAGAACCAAATTTTAAAAGAAAATAAATATTTTTTGAGTTTTCAACAATTTGTAAAACCAAATTTAATATTTTTTTTTTCGACAAATATTGATAAATAACAATTTTTTTTGATAAATCAACATTATTTTTGAAAATTAGCAGGGGTATTTTATGAAAAACTATCACAAATTTCAGTTTTCCATTAAAAAAGAAAATTTCTGATTATGTAATGGCTATAAAAATGGTAAAAAGTTCAAAATTCTTTTGTAAAGCTAAACTAGTGCAAATCAAGAATTGATTTCATACAATTCTCATGCATAAAACCGTACAGGTACGAAGTTTATTGTGTAAACTAATATTAAATGTCAATAAGGAATCAAAATTAAATAGATTGGTTTTCATTTTCACAAGATTTATCACTTTTTATAGCAAACTGCATTACGTTTTATACAAATTTTTTGATCAAAGTATAAGGTTTTAAGTGTATTCAAACATTACTTTGACGATTTGATTTTTTTTACATTTGACAAGAAGGCGATGAAGAAGGAATCAAATTTAACAAACTTATCAAATGGTTTTTATAGCATTTTTTTTTGAAAATACATATTTTCAACAACTTCATCTCTAAGACAATATAAAACTGTATATTTTCTTCTTTCTTTGTCAAAATTATTCTTATTTTTTTAGTTCTTATAGTTGATACTAGACTTTCACGATTTCCTGTTCCCGAAATTTTTGGGACAGAAACTCGATGAATAAAAATAGTTATCCAAAAAATTTTAATGTCAAATTATCTCAATTGAAAAGTTTCATCATTTAAACACAAAAAAAACTTCCAAATTTCCAGGAGCATGTTTGATATTTGAGCTTAAATTTTTGTCCAGTTCCCAATAATTTTTTAGGCCCGGGAAATCGTGAATGCCTAGTTAATACAAAAAGATATATCATTTCAGGAAAATTCACTGAAAATTTCTGATGAAAAATGTCCTTACTAAAAGCAAAGTAAACTTAAATCGAGGCATATAAATGTTATGATATGAATTAAAGCGCTATAAAAAACTAAACCTCGGTGATACCTCTATAAAACTGAAGCAAACGTTAAAGTTCCTCTAATATGAGGAGATGTCTAATATTCTCATCGTTAATAATGTTTGATATTTTTGGATGCATCTGGCGTTATATCGCCTTTGTTTCGAGCCAGAATACTTTTTTGCTGATAAATGACTTTATTACCAAAAATTTTGTATACAAATATTTTTATAATATTTGTATATATTTTAGACTGAATATTTTTGGACAACTAAAATTTCAATTAAAACTTAAAAATATTTAGTGTAAAATTGCTATTTATGTATTTTTATAAAATTTTGGTTCAAAAAATGTAAAGAAACACGAGAAACCACATTAAAAAATCGTCAATTATAATCAAATTCATATGACAAATGTTTCTCAAACTGTCTTGTAAAAACTACAATACTTACAATACTTTCCATAAAAGTATTGTAAGAATTGTAAGTACTGTACAATCCTACAATACTTGTCATACAAGTATTGTAAGTATTGTACAATCCTACAATACTTGTCATACAAGTATTGTAAGTATTGTAGGTATTGTACAATACTTACAAAACTTTCATATGTATTGTAAGGTATTGTACAATACATTACAATACTTTTGGAGTGTCTGACCCTTGAATTAAATTTAATTCCTCACAAGTCAATACTAAAACATCCATTTAATTTCACTTAGGATGCGGGAGAGAGATCAGAAGAACAAGGTTTAGTGCTTGAAAGAATATTAGTATTGACACGTAACGTGCTGCAAGTTCCAACAAATCCACAGAATGAAAAGCGCGTTGATAACGACATTAGCGTTCACGATCAAATTTTGTTAGCACTTCATGATTCGGGCATGCTTGAATTGATTCTCTACATACTCAGTTCAAAATACGAAAATCAATACTATCTTCATGCACTCGAAATCACGTATCTTATATTTCGTGAACAAAAAGTTGAAACATTAGCAGATTCATCGGTACAACGTTCAGATGCTGAGAAGCTTGCTGATGAACAAGCATTGATAACAGCAAGAAAAATGGAAAAGGCAAAAGTACAGCAGCATTTACCGCCAGCACGACATTCACGATTTGGCGGCACCTATGTTTATAAAAACATGAAGTCAGTTTCTGATCGAGATCTCATTTGTCATCAGCCACTCGAAAGAGTTGTTGAACAAGATTTGAGTCGTGATAAGAAAAAGATTAAACCAAATTTTCGTCTTGCAAAAGATGAAGATAAATATGAGCGTCAAAGTGCTTTTTGTGTTCGTTTAGTATTACGTGAATTTTGTCTTGAAATATTGACAAAATCATTTAATAATTTGATTCGACAAGTGCGACGTGTTCTCGAACGTAATCATGTAAATAATGAAGGAAGTGGTCATGATCAATCATATTTATTATGGTCGATACGTTTCTTTCTTGAATTTAATCGTTTAAATGGCTTCATACTTGAACATGTGAGCGAAGCAGTCACTGTTGGTACAATTCATTGGATATGCAGTCAAATTCAAAATGACTCGGAAATGATTCAAACTGATAAGAGGAGAAAAATCAATTGGAATCGTCGTCTACAATTAGGAATTCATGCATATCGCGAGTTTCTACAAACCTTACAAGTAATGGAATTGGATGACGATGAGGAAGTAAAAGGACTCGTTGCAAAACTCAAGACGAACATTTTCTATGTCGTTGAATATCGTGAAATGATACTTCACTTGCTGTTGGGCTATAACGAAAATCATTTTACAAGGTAAATTATGCTGAAAATTATTTGCACGTTCCTCTATAAATGCTGAAAATTAACATGGATACATTTCACATAAAGACACAGAAGTGTGAGGAGGTGACAAGTTGAGTGTAAAAACCATTTCCTTTTTTAAAAAATATGAGAATTGAAATGATTTTTTTACGAACCTTTTTCTTTCTGCTCATGGAAATGTGTCCGATATTTTTAGCACAAAAGCTTTTTTTCTTGTTTTGTAACAAACTGTGACGCATTTGTCTTTTATCAATTAAATACCTAATATAAATGGCCAAAAAAATATCTAAAGACAATCACACAAAAATGTCCATAGCGTCCTTTATCTTTAATAAAATCTAGTTAAGTAGGAAAAATCTCTAGTGACGCACAACACGCATATGGAATTAAAATCCAATTTTTTGCTCATTTCCTTCACATTACAATATTTTGATGACCTTCGTTATTCATACATGTTCGTATTATACGTTTTTTTTTTGTGCTCCTCAGAATGTATCTCCGTGACCTTATTGACACGACAAACGTGTATATGAAAATGATGGAGAAATTCTGTCAAGGCAGTGTTGTGGTGCAAACAAAAGTTAAGAAGGATAAGAAGAAAAAGAAAAAGGCTGACAAAAATGCTACGAAGAAGGTCAAACAGTCCAAAAAGCCTTCAAAAGAGGAAGTAATGGTGAGAAAGTTTGATAAACAGTTGATGTGGGTCTTTTCTATTAATATTTTCTTTTGTATGCTACGTAATAAGGAACGACTAGAGAACGAATGGGACTCAAAGATATCATCAAATGTTGCAGTCGTTCTTGGAAATGATATAAATTTGCCTGAAGAAGAACAACCAGAAGAGCCATTTAATGCTGAATTGGAAATATCTGAAGATGAGCAACGGTGAGTAAATTGCAATAATCACATCCAAAATATTAATTTTCAATTTATTTCCACAACAACAGTGAAAAATGTAAACAAAAAATTCATAATTTCCTTCGCGATGAAGATTTCGAACGTGCAGTTTTACTTTTGAGAGCGGGACGAAAGTCTTGGCCAGATGTTGAAACATTTGGACGAGAAAATGCACAACCGGAAGAGGAGCTTATGATATTAAAGGAAATTTACATGATGAATCAAGAAAGCGGTAAGTGCTTAATGAAAAAAGATGAAGATTCAAAAGAATTTTTAATTAATTTCCTCTCATAAGATCAAAGCGAACGATGCTTGAAGATAATAAGAAAGTTTAAATGTTGCTATAGAAACTCTTTGCCGTAGTTAGAGCGCATGGAGATTTTAGAATTAAGTTTGTTAAAATTTTGAAGGTTTAGAGGCTTATTTTGCGACGTTGTATTTTGAGTTGTGTGATCTAATAACAGATCTAAGCTTTATACTGCTCAGGGGCGTAGCCAGAAAATTTTTAAGGGGGGGGGCATTTTCGAATATAAAAAAACCGTTATTTTGTATCCCTAAATCTATATTCATTCTTCATAAGTTTAAATATTTAATTCATTGTTCATACATTAAATTTAATTTTTCGTGCTGATTTTGACATTTTTTTCATCACTTCCTCTACATTAACTTGTTCATCTCTATAAATACTTAATAAAACAATTATCAGATTTTCGTAGGGGGGCCCGGGCCCCCTATGCCCCCCCCCCCATATTTTTGATAAAAACATTTCAGAAAATATTTTAAAACACAAATTTTTCTGCAATAAGCGTGAACTTATCATATTGATCGAAAAATCAATACTAAAGTTACAAAATTAAAGTAAAAATTTAAAAAATCGATATAAAATTAACGGTTTTAAAAAGTTCAAATTTAAAAACCTTACAAATTGTTCGGTTAAATAACATTTGCAAGGTTCTCATATTTTTGTTTTGTTTCAAAAACATATTTTTTATGAATTTCTGTTAAAAAACAATATGAATATGCGTTGAAATAAATTAAGTTATCTAAAACACATAGGCAAAGTTAAGAAACTAGGTAAAATGTGCAAAAAATTATCAAAATTTTCATTGTTTTGATACATTTTTTGGACTCTGGAGCAAAACATGTGATTTTGTATGGATTCTTTGCCTCGATTTGAGTAGAAATTTTTTGGAACAAAACAACTACTCAAATCGAGGACCCCCAGTATAAGGTTACTATAAAGAAAGTTAATTCCCTTTAATCGAAAACTAGCCAACCTACGACTGCTAACATCCTGAGTTTAATTTATCAGAACTAAAATCATTCACTTCATTCCAAGTCATTGTTATTTTCATTCCATATATCCTTAATGATCATCTGAGGAATTACGAACATTAATTGGTATGGTTGATCGGATAATTTAGATATTAAAACAAAGCATTAATAAAGATTCTATAAATGGCTCAGAATGTATTCTGAAATCTTATTGTGATAGCTCAGGGTATTATGGATGTTGGGGCCTCAATCAAAATCTTTCAAGGTTGATTCAATTATTAAAGTAGGCATTTATATGAATTCCCAGAGAAGATTTACTAAATGTTAAACCAGATAAATCGTAATTATATCACAAAAAATATCTTAAGTAAATTCCCAAAGTGGTAAGCAATGCGAGAGCCTTAAAAAGTTTATTAAATTCATTTTGTTTAATCACAAAAAGCTTAAAATTATACAAATTTTGTTCGCCGTCTAGAGCTGTAAGCCCATGATGATAAAAATAGCAGATTATAATCTGTAAAATACGCTAGAGAACTGAGAAATAAGCACATTCCGGTCGGAAATAATTTTATACTCCCTTTCTCTGGCGCTCTCCTTTTTTAATTAAGATATTATTAATCCAATTATAATGCATCAAAAAATGGCGCAAGATTATTAAAGCAAGATCCGCTTCTCGTCATCATTTTTGAATGAGCTAAGGGATATTTTATCATAGAATATTACGTGACATAAAAGATTTTATATTTTTCTGCTGATATTCAAATAGCTACAATCGCTAATAAGCAAAATAATGAAAATATTTCGATAATGAAAGAAAATTGAAGGGAAATTTTTTCATCATTGACGAGTTTCAATCCTTAAAATAGCCAATTTTCATTATTCGTACAATCGCATTCAACGTGAAGGAAAGGAAAAGAGGGATGAAAAAAAGTTTAAGGCATTATCCTCAATGTTTCATTATGTAGAGGAAGTTCTATTCAATGACGGTGAAAATGCCTTTTTTTTGCTAATGCAGCATTACAGAGTTGGTGATTAGAAGTCATTATCTTGCTGCTGAGGTTAAGATGACATCGAGATCTGCGAGGTAAACTAGCATCTAGATGACTTCATTACGGCATTTTGCACAAACGAATTGTGACTAAATACTTTGCAGGGTGCATTAGGTCTTTATACTAGCTTGTTTCTATGCGATGTCCAGAGCTTTCTAGTGGTTCGGATTTCACTATAGCTATGTGGTAACTAAATAGAAATACTCTTGGGAAAAACGTTGCTCAATAAGTGTTTTTGAAGAGCAAAGACTGCTTAAAAGAGTTTCCGTTGTCATCTTTAATGTCAAATCTCAAAGAGCAACACTGAACAACAGAAGCATTCGAAATGAATTTTCATTGAAGTACAAAAGTTTAATTTTTTTTTTTCATCCTCTCTATACAACTTTCTCATTCAACTCGACTCTTATTTTCTCAATCATTTCCTGTGCAGCACAATAAATGTTGAGAGAATAATTTTTTTTTCGAGCAGTGAAACTTTCAGTTCTAGACTATTTTTAAGAGCTTGCAGTTTTTTTGTGCATTCTCATCCTCATGTTGGACTTTAGAACTTTAAAGAAAATTATTTTCATTGAATTTTTTTTTTTTTGCTTTAACGGGAAGCAAAGATTTTCCGCTTATTTTCTAAAAATTATATTCCTTTCATGTCATTTTATTATATCTCGTGACTCTCAACATTCGGTCGATATAAAAAATTAGAAGATATAAAGTGGATCGAGCTCAAAAGTCTCAGGGGAATCTAATTGAATCTAAGCCATGTGCAAAAGACATATAGAAAAGTGAATTAAGAAACTTTAAAACATGCAATGAATGTACGACTTGAATGTGTACATTTTTATGGGACTTCTTTCTATCTTCAGCAACAATTCTCTAATGCAAGAGTCACACAAGTTTTTTTTTCGTTAATTATTTTAACTTTTTAATTGCTGGAAGTTTTCAACGTTTCTATAAGAGTAGGATAAGAGGAATTCAGTTGAGTTAATAAGATTGCTGTAATTTGATAGAAGACGCATTGGTTTAGAAGAACTTTTTTTAATGAAATTTTATAGTTCCTGGTTAAGGAAAATTAAATTTATTGATTTTTGTAGTTTGAGTAGCTTCTGGAGGAGCTCTTGTGTCTTTTAATTGATATTTATTGACTTTCAACATAGAAGTGGAATTGTCAAGTTCTGTATCTCTTTTATAAATGATGATCATGGCATAACCAGACCCAAAAAACTTAATGGCTATCCCCTGATAACCCCTAAACCTAATGAAGGTTTGAATGGATTTGAAATCAATTATTTTTTGCAATATATATTTATTCGACTTACAACTTAGTCGTAACTACAGATTTTTAAATAGCTTTAATACTTTGTTTACGATAAAATTTTAATTTGCTTTGAATTACTGTGAATTTTTCATTAAAAGCAATATTCTCAGTCGTAATTGGCATAAACACTTGAAACTTCTCTATCCTGCCTTATAAACTCTTAATTTACCACTTTTTCATATAAAGTCACTTAAAACATCTTAAAAACTACAAATTCCATTGTCAGAAAATGTGCTCGGAAAATATGCCTTTGTCTTGATCCAAGTTATGTTGGTTTGACGAAGTTTATTAATGGGGTAACATACTTAGACTCATTTTATAAAATGGTGTAATAAAATAATTGCTGTAAAGAATTTAAATGGTAGAAAAAGGGATGCAAAATTACTTTCAAGAACTTTAAACTATTTTACATGATTCTCATCTATTCAAGATTTTAATGACGAGCACTTTCATGTTTGGATTTTCCTTTTCTATGACTTGAAAAGAAAATTTTCTAGTGTCACTTAAAAAGCATACATATATGTGAGAAATGTGAGATTTTGTAGAATAAACCACAATGTTAGAAAGCCACAAAATTCATTCCCCTCGTCTCCATGCACACATCTGTCTCATTTCCTTCAATTTAATCAGAGAATGAGGGAACAATTTAGCCTCTTATAAGCAAACTTTAAACTTTTTTTTTTCCTTTCTAATTTCTAGCTTTTATTTTATTTTATGAAAAAAGGAAAGAATTTTTATGTCTGGGTTGGAATATTGGATGGAATGGTTTGTTTTTATTTAATTAGCAGAATGACAAATGTGTCTTTTGGGATATGATTATGCAAATATAAAAACTATATAAGTTTGTCTATAATGAACTAATGTGAAGCAAACTCAAATTTCTTTCAATTTCTCAATTTGACAGCAGCTAAAAAGCAGAAAAGGTCGATCGACCCTGGTTCGATCTCAGGCAATGTCTAGTCCAATAAGGGTGCTTTTTCGCTGCTCTAGTAAAAAAAACTCGGTTTGTGCGATTCACGACGCGCAATTTGTGGCTAAGTACTTTCCATTGATATATCCTGGGTCATGCAATTGTGTAGAGTTACAGGAATCAATCTGTCTGTAGAAAAAATCAAATCGTTAAAGTTTTAAAAATTTAATTGGTTTCCAATTTGTTCCAAAACTTTCAACCCTTGTTTTTATCCTACAAGAATCGTATCAAATAAAAATATTTATCTTTCATGCACCAGCTCTAGCAAAAAAAAAATTCCTGGTGCTTGAGTAGAAAATTGCATTTAATGAAATTGGTTTCCATGACTTATATACATTTTATACTTTCTATACTGATGATGATGATGATGTTGCAAACGGGAACATAAAAGAGAGATTCAATTTTTTTAAAGGCAAAGAAGAAAAAAAAATGTTCCAGTTTTTAGTGATTTTTGTTGCTATGAATACAAAATATTTTGTGTATCTGAAACACCATACAGAAATGAATTTTGTGCTCGGTTGATGAAACCCATTTTTGTTATTAAAATGCCTTGTTTATTCAATTTTATTTACATTTTGTTGGCTTAACTCATCATCATCAACAGCATGAATCATCCTTGGAATGAGTTCGGAGTGTTTTGTGCTTTCAAATGTTTTTGTAAATATAGAAAATTAAACATTTTTAATATACATGATGAATAAGTGGAACGAGATGACTAATTTTAATAAATTGGAAAATTTTGGGATGCAAATAGGATTTATTTTGCAGAAAAAAGGATATAAATTAAAGCTGCTTGTTGAATTTATTGAGTAACATCGATTGACTAAGTTATAAATTCAAATTCTGTAATTGGATCTGATAAATGCTAGACCAATGTTTCCATTTCCATTTAAAAGTCACTCCTGATTCCTTCCATTATCTAAATTTATGCCAGAAAAATTGCATATCTAATTCCGTCTTCCTTTTATCATCATAACAGTAGGAACGGTAATTAAATGTATGTTCGTCCATTACGTGTAAGTTTATGTCGTCTCTCGTTCCATCGTCTTTGTCCATATTTGACTTTCTGTTGGTACTGATTTAATAACATGATGAAGCCAACTTAGATTTTCCCTACAACATGATTCGATAGACTGAACTCTACATAACAACAGAATTATTCATTTGCATACATTGGGTTTCGTTATAATATTTACTTAAATTTTGATTTACACATTGCATGGTGTACGATATTATGATCTGATTTAATTAAGGCTTCTATTTTACATTGTACATATGATGTTTTAAATATTTGCGATAATAGAGACGAATTGTTGTGTATTTGTACATTTAGTTTTAGCATGTAAATATTGTATTTACTTATTACTTACAGTTAAATTTTAATGCATACGACTTGTGATAAAAGTTTATGAAAATGTTACATCATATGATGATTGCTCAATTTTTAACTTTGGGGTTTCAATGTCATCGTTTTTGGTTATAAAGGTTGAAAAACTGTAAGTTTTGTTTTATGAGACCAAAGAATATACATTGTTTTCCAAACTAGCCTTAATATATCCAGAATCAACCTCATTCATAATTATGTAAGTTGCGAATCTTTGGAACTCCTATTTTATTGTTCTATTGCCTTAAGCACTTTAAGAAGTTGCACTAGTTTAAAATACATAACAAGAAACTTCTATGCTAAATAAGCTTTATTTATTTTGAATAGTTTTCTTGTCATGCTTTAATTGTATCCAAAATGTGTTGCTTGTTATAAATTACATAATTTTGTGAAATAAATTAGAATTATCAATCGTTGTTCCATGAATAATAATAATAGCATTAATTAAGAACTACAATCATAGTCTTTTTTGATAGCTGTTTTGATACTTGTATGTGCCTAGCTTAAAATCTAAATACTTATTAATTTGAGATGTACAGTGGAAAGAGAAACTTGTGAGGATGTTAACAAGTTCTTTTCGCCAATATTTATGCATAAAAAAAAGATCGATTCATGAATATGAAAGAGCTAGAATACATTTCCCACGATTATTAAAGAATATAGAAGTGTTGTTTCAGCAAAACCTCAAAAAATTTGATTTTTATCTCCAATACGGACAAAAAGTTTATGTTTCATTAAAATATTCATAAGCCTATCCTTCATGAAAAATTTCCATTTAATCCTTTTTTTCTCATGAAACATAATCTCCATAATTCTATTCATATTTTATATTTATAGACATTAAAGTAACTTAGTTTTAATACTCGTAAATTAGAATAAAACTCATAGTCATCGTAATCTATCTGTATCCACACAGATATTGTGTACAGCTATATCCTATTTTTTTCACACGTTAATGCTTTTTTTAATTAATATAAAACAAAGGCGATATACATATTGGGTATTCATCTATACCATGAATATGTATGTGTGTGTCTATAGCTCTGATAGGTGTTTGTTGATGTAATTTTAATAAAAAAGCAAATAAGTGATGAGAAAAGAGAGTTCTATTCATAAAACCTTTAATCCTCTTTTAGGTCAGTGAAATAAAAAAAAATACCGAGTACATAAACTCACTTTAGTGCTCTCCACATACAAATACATGCACGAATGGAAAAAGCTGTTTTCCACCAAAACGAGCACAAAATAATCGTAAAGTTTAATTTTCTATAGCCCGAGTGACTCACAATTTTCCCGTTTATCAGCACTTTTCTACTCTTTCCACCTCCCAGACTCACTCCTTTTCTATCTCCGTATCATATATGCATGCACATTTCCAATTTCCGGAGCTCCACTCTATGCATGCATACTTTAAAATAAGTTTTTTATACCACAATTTAAAAGTTTTATATTTTTTTGAGAAAAAATGTTAAAATTCTCTTCTTTTGGTCTGTGTTTTAAAAAAATAAAGAATTATGAAACTTTCTCGTACTTAATATGTACTTTAATTAAGATTATGTTTTGTGTGCATGTAGTTTACGCTTTTAAAGAGATTTAAAAATAAGAAGATTAATATGTGCAAACATGACTGCAGGAACTACTTACTACTTGCTCATTTAACTGGTTATTGGGGGTCTAAAAAGTTTATTTGTGTAACGTAATAAAAGAACAAACCCTTACGCAATTCTTTGAAAAAAAAGTATGAACCTTTGTGTCGCGTTTCTGTTTAAACTGTTTATTTCCTTGCATCTTAAGTATCGAATTATAAATAATTGACACATCTGTGTTATTTAAATTTCATTAAATGATAAAAAAAAGTGTCTTTATCAACTTTGTTGCACAGAAACGGTTGTTTCAACGCTCAAATCCAGCTTACCTAATAAACATGCAAATCTCATTTATTATTACAAAAATATATATTTACAAATTTTAATAATCTGCTTTAAATCGACTCACAAAGCGGTCATTCACTTATTACGTAACACTTTAAGAAGGGCTAAACGTTTGTCACAGTTCAAAGAAAGAAGGCTGTGGATCTTAAAATTTAGTTTTTTTCCATAACGTAATAAGTGAACGACCCCAAACGAGATTTCATTCTTATAAAGGCATCGAGATAATTAGGAACATTTAAATAATTGAATATGAATATATTTCATTTCCTTTATCAAAGGAAATTATCGCCAAATTTATTAGATTTAAATTTGCTTAAATTTATCTCATTTATTCAACAGATAATGATAATGTCGATGATTTTTGGAAGGAATTTGATGGGTCAGAATCTGAAGGTAATTAGGCTGAAAGAAACATTTTTGCTTGATTGCATTAAGAATGTAAATTATGAATATTTTATATCTTTTTTAACCCAAGATAATGATGCTGATGCTGTTGGAGATGAGAATGAAGAAAGTAACGAAGAGAGCGATGAAGAGGAAGAAGAGGAAACTGAACTGAAAGAAATCACAATGAAATTTTCGGACATCGAAAAACGGTAAGAGCAATTAAATTGTAAAATATTATTATTGGCTTGAATAGCTTTAACTTATTTGTCGGAATCAAGATAAATTGTGGAAGGTCTCAGTGTTTCAGACTCATATAGAGTTTATAGTACCACAATCTTGAGACCTACAGTTTAAAGTGGAATTCGAACCACTTTGTGGGAATAAAGGTATCAAATTCAAAGACTCATTATTTGGTCAGAACTTAAATTTATGGCTTCTATCTTAATAATATTTAATGCATTCAATTCGTAAATGATTCATTACTAAATTGATGCTGGGACAATAATATCTCCTTCCTATCTTTTCGATTCATTGAGCAATCGATAAAAATGGCTCATCAACAGAACACGCCTAAAACTGAAAATAAAGAGGAATAGAAAAGCTTTTAGTGACAGCTGTTTCTTGTCACACTTTTTAAATTCTGTTGGACGTCTCATTATTCTCAATGTTAAGTGTAGACTTGCTCATCTATTAAATCTTTAAAAAAAAAATCCTCCCTTTTGTTGTTCATCCGTTATAATTGTAATCATGGCAGGGGCTTAAAGTGCTGACGCTTGTTGCGCGATTATATAAATTTGCTATGCCGCATTATTGTGTGTTGTGTCTAGGCAGAAGTGAATTCCCTTAACTGAATACACTAAAGCTCTCACCTTGCGAATGGGAAAAGAAAAGGAGATGAGAAGAAAAATGTATTTCTCACTCGATGGAGTAGCAAGAAAATATTTGCAAACGAAAAACAAATTTAAAGCTAATAATCCTTAGGACCGACCGACTTGAAAAATGTTTACAAAGGCCACAGGTATTCAAAAGAGATTTTTGTGATACACATAGAGACCAAAGATAGCTAATTTTCTCTTTTTGCATCCAATCTACCTTTCCGTTTAGTAAATTTTACGAGATTTTCTTCTTTTTTTTTGTCGAGATTATGGTTTTTGGGGAATTTTGTTTTATGATATTTAATTTCGTTATTTTTATTCTGTCTACATTTTCTGGTTTTACTCATTGCCGTATTTTTTAAAACGAAACCAATTGCAATCTCTGATATTATTTTATTCTGTATCATAAAATTAAATATTTAAACAGAGAAAAAATATGCGGAAGTTTACTTACTCCTCTTCTTAATTGCCGTCTGTATGGATGTAATTTTTTGACAAGGTAATGATGAATAATAATGTTTGATTAAATGGCTACCGGGGAGGCAGAATTTAAGGTTTACATTTTTTTTCATGAAATAGTAATATTTAAATGTAATTATTTTTATTTTATAATCATTATTTTTTGTAATCAAGTCGAATTTATCGATCGCTGATTAAAATATCTGTAAACTGGTTTATTTATTTGTGGTCTAGTAAAAAAGTTAAATTAATGAGAGTGATTTTTGATCAAATTTTGCCACTTCATCTGAACTCTATATTAAATATAGATTCCATAGATACAGTCTTTAAGCTGGCAACAATAGATACATACATTTCTTCTCAAGCATTTATTGAAAAGCTTTCAAAACAGATAAGAGATTATCGAAAATCCTCATTCAATCTGAATCAATTTAATTCCAATAAAGCTTAAAGTAGTAATCCTGTGTCATAACGACACCAAAATAAGCTCAAAATGTTACTTTAATACGCTCATAGTAGTGTAAAAACTTTTTTTTAAACTTCTTATATCTCATTGCATTCCAATTTAAAATCCAATAAAAACAAGAAAGATTTCTTTTATTCTCAGAAGAGCAAAAATGAGAGTAGCATCGCATCTAACGAATAAAAAAAAGGAGGAAAGGAAGCATACAAAATTAAATATTAACGAGAAATAATTAAAATAAATTTTCTTTGCCTTTTGTAAACGACGATGCCTTAAAACGTGAGTCAAGTGTAGGAAAAGAATGAAGAAAATTCACTCAATTGTTAAGAAGTTGCTTTTTCTCTTGCTTTATTCCATTTCGTTTTCTTTGAGTCAGTGCAAACGACGTAACGAGGAAAGTGAAAAACAACAATTTGTGCTGTCGATTAGGAGCACCTTTTATTTAATGTTTTACGTCCCTCTACCTTGGGGCTCGTTCTTACACATTCCATTAATTTTTTTTTTCTTTTTCATTCCTTTCTTTTCTCGATTTTTAAGAGGGGGAGGAAATGATAGTATCATCATAATAATTTATTTAAACTGCTTGTTCGCTTGCATTATTATTTCTCTTGTTCCATCTTCTGTGACTTTTTTTTTTATCGTGACAAAAAATCCATCTATTCTTGTATGAATATTACTTCGCATTGTTCATGAAACGGCTTCTTTGAGCAACTTCCGTTGACTTTATTAGCGATTATGATAGTATAGATACTGAGGAGAAAAAAAAAGCTCGACTATATTACATTATAGTGAATAACATCCGTCGTTTAAAAAGCATAAAAACCGCACTTCACTTTACTCTTTTCCTTCATAAAGCCTTTATTTTTTCATCTCACTTTATTGGAACGAATAGCATAAAATGAATGTGAAAAAAATACTCGATTAAATGGGGTAGAAAAAGAGGAATTGCGTTTTATGATTACGATTATCGTTCAATGATATCAGGTGGCGGTTGGAGCGGTTGAAGAGTCAATAATGAAGAGTATATCGATTTCAAAAAGAGAATATAAAATTCTTTTAAAGGTAATTTTCTACTCTTCCTTCCATTTCGCGATTTTCTTGATGATTTATGGAGCAAAGCGATAAATTTTTACCGGATTTCGATGCTTGATTGTTTAAGCTGATGATTTTAGTGTTTTGCAGTTTGTCTACATTTCTAGGGTTTTTAAAAAGCGGCAGTGACGTAGTGGTTAGAGTGTTGGCAAACCAACCAACCCCAACGACTCTGGTTCGATCCCAGGGAATGTCTAGTCAGATAAGGGTGCAATTCCGCTGGTCTAGTAATTTTTACTCGTTTTGTGCGATTCGCGATGCGAAAATTGTGGCTAGGTACTTTGCATTGATATTCTGGGTCATGCAATTGTACAGAGTTATAGGAATCAATCGCCTGTAAGGATAAAACTGTCTGTATTGCCAAAAAGTAATTATATAATTTGGATGCCATTGTATCTTTAAAATCAACATTTATAAGTTATTAACAACATTTACAAAAAAAGCTATGTTTTTAAAATCACACATTGGTCCTTGATATTATCTAATAATTGAGTTAAGCTTAAATTCATAATTCATTAGTATAAACATCGTTTTATTACTTCAACATTTCACAATAATCTCCCTACTTTTACTCTTTACTCCATTATATCTGCTACATCTAAGGGTTGTATATTACAACAATCAATGGAAGATGAGAATGAAAATTCTTTAATGATAAGACAACATGAAAAATGGCTGTTATAAGGTAGATGAGATATTGACGATATGATGTAAAATATGAATTATATTTAACCAACTTTACTGTGGCATCATTAAGATGGTTGTTATTTATAACAATTTATCAGTGGAACTGCATCCGTCCAGGAGAAAAAAAGACAGAAAGAAGGAAAATAAAATAAATTCCTTCCGCATTTAAGGGAAAGTGAGTCAGTTGAGTGAGAGTGGAAAGGAGCTGATGATAAATCATCATTATGAGTCACGAGAAAAAAAATTAATTAAAAATGCTGTTTAGTTATGTGAAGCGTTAAATTAATTAATTTATGATATCTGATGCAGGCTGTGGCCATAAGACTGATGATTTATTGTGGCTTGATTATGGCGATATAACAAATTTTTTATATGAAATAATATTTTTTTCCTGAATGACTCTGAAAGAGTCATAAAGTCGCTTCTGTATGTGCTGCAATATACGTTTTTCATGACAGTTCACCTTGTGTGAAAAAGAAATTTATATCACATTTTTATTATATTCAAAGAAAAATATTTTTATCGATTTAAAACTTTTCTTCGACTTTATTGAATTTTACGTCATTTTGATGAACATTTGGAGGTATAATAAAATTTTATGACGCATCATCAGATGATGAAATAAACGAGGGCAAAAGAGATGAAAATCGGATTGAATTTGAAAGCTTTTTTCTTTAAACTTTTCTTATAATCCGATAAAAAAAATAATTCTAACGAAAGGAAGCAGCAGTTTGCATCCAAAGCTTCATCGCTAAACTTTCTTTTTTCAATTACTTAAACTTCTCCTTCATAAATTTGTTCTTTCTTCTTCTGACACTCGACTCTTCATCTCTTTATTAGCTTATTAACTCAATTCTTTTCCAGGTTAAATAAGCAAAGAGGAAAAATTGGATCGAAAGAATTCCTCACAAGAAGCTTAATTCTATTCACTCACATTCGTTCACCTACATATCATTTTCATCTCATGGTTGAGAAAATTCATTTTTATGAAAGTGGAAAGTTATGCAAAACAAAGTTATAGAAACTTTTATATTAGGAAGTTAAAAAAATATTAGAGAGATTCAAGAAATCATAGATTTCGAAATGGAAATTTCTCCTAAGGAGTCGTTCACTTATGACGTCCAAAATTAACGGTCATTTTTCAAAAAAGAACAATGGATTTCCTGGAATTTCTAATGTTCTTTTCTTGCTGACCCCCCCCCCCCCCCCCCCTGGACGTCATAAGTCAACGACCCCTAAGGAGATAGCAGAAACCTATTTGAAATAGCTGCTGTATATTTTCCAAACGCTTGCTAATATCCCAAAAAATACCACAAACAAGCTAAATCTACCAAAGGATTCATTTCTTGCAATATTTCAATACCTAAAGAAAATTTACATTCACGATGGAATGAGAAGAAATCATGAATGTCGAGGTATTGAAATTTATTTTTTAAATAACATTTTTCTTCCTTTCATACAGCTTTGCATGCTAAAGCAAAAGCTTATTTTATGTTTGTCAGTTTATTAAATGTATGCAGCGAATTTAAAAAGAAGCGTAAATCGTCTTAAGCCATTTTTAGAGCTTTAAGGAATTTATGAAAGTTTTTCTCATTCTGGCACTTGCAGCATGTTGCAAAGAATATTTCTATGTGATGCATGTATGCATAGAAAGTTTAAGAAGGAGAAAAAAATGAAAGTCTTGGGAGCTGTTAAGAACTCATAAATTTTCTTCCTTTTCTTCTTTCATCCATTCCTTTATTTTTGCTTCCTTCATGAACTTGTTGGTTGGTTTGGCTGAATGGCTAAAATAATGGTGGTCGGAGAGTTTATGGATAAAAATATTTTTTCTGCTTATTTTCATTTATTTTGCTTCTTGTGCTGTTTTTTGTGTAGAAGCGCGAAGGATCAACGTGAAAATGCAATTTTTTTTCCCATCCTCTCTGTTATTTTGCTGCTTCATTGTATTAACAACAACTATAGAAAGCAGTAATGCGAAGAAAACTGGTTTAATAGTTAAAGTTGCTATTGACTGGTTTTGGAAGACGCATTTCTTTAAATATTTGGAAGTTTTTGTTAGAAGCTGAGCATTTAGATGGTTTTAATACTCTACTCAAGGTTTATTAATCTGATAAAGGCTAAACGACAAGAATGGCATAGCTTTGAAAGGCTAGACACTAAATTGTAAGTCTAAAGTGCAAGTTCCAAAAGGTTGTCTATAGACTCATTAGCTTGGACTCATTATAGCAATACTTACTCCATTTGTATGGCTTGGCGTCATTATGTCTAGTCTTCTTAAAAATCTGCCCCATAAAATCATTATTCTGAGCCATGACAACAAGCCATTCATCAATCTCGGTATCTTCATCATCAAATATTTTAATAAAATAAAAATGACGTAAATCCAGCTACCATTTATTAGGTAAATGTTATTAAATAAAAATCCTATAGCAACCGACAGAATAAAACCATAAACCCAACACTTGTTTGACATTAAAATGCATTAATAAAGCAAGAGATGAAGGAACGAAGTTGGTGGGTAAACATAAAGAACAATTTTTTTAAAGCGAATATTTAATTTTCCTCATCTTCTTTATTACTGACAACAAAAGGCGAAGAGAAAGGGAACAGAAGAGGTAGTAGCCGGGGATAAAGATGAGAATAAAAGAAAGCGGACTCGGTAGAATTTTTTTATTTTTTAATAATTTATGCAGAATAATAAATTTCCATTACATCATCATGCAATAATGTTCCCAAACGTTCCGTTGTCGTTTGTTACATTTTATGAATAAGCAAGAATCTTTATTAAATACAAATTTAAATGCAGAAAAGATAGTGTCAAGAATTTTTTATATCAAAATCTTCTAATTTATGTATTTTTTTTTTCCTTTACAGATTATTAAATCCGAAGGTTGTTCGTGCATGTACATGGGCGCTTCAAAGTTGGGAAAAGATGAGTTATCGTGAAATCAAAAGTGCCGTTACAATCCTTCATCGAATCGCTGTGAATTTAAAGATGCCAATTATGCTAATGCACGCTCAATTATTTCGTATCTTTCAACAAGTCTTTAATGTACCGAAAGATAATCGTTATGAAGAGTTGCGACGAATTGGAATTTATGTAGTTCGGCAGTTTGTGAAATTAGTTCCACGTAATCCAAAGATATTTGCAGAACTGCTATTCTTTAGTTCTCATCGTGAATGTCATGAAATTGAGCATGGATATGACGAACCTTTTGGAGAGCACGAGTAAGTACTTTGATTTTATTTTATTACATCACTTCTGCCTGCTTTTCTAAAATGAATAAGATTTTATTGACATCTTTAGCTTTGTTGGTGGATTACTGAATTGGAATTGACTATTCTGATGATTACATAACTTACTGTCATTCCAACTTGTTAAATGTTCAACTTTTTGTTTACCCAATTAATTTGATGTCTATCTGATTAACTGGATCTTTGCCAGACTGATTAGATTTCTTCAATTAATTTTCAGTCTATTTGTTCAGCAACTTTAGTTAACTGATTTGATGCTTGATTAATTAAACATCTCTGATTTTGTTTTCATGTTACTAGACGGTCATTCATTTGGATTATTCGAACAAAGTAGTTTAGTTCCTTTACTGGTTTAAGATGCACTATTACTCAATAATGCGCAGATAAACGCCGCATTAATATTTAAACTTTCGTTCTACATACATTTAAAACTCACAATGTCTCTAGATTTACCAGTAAATCCGATCCTCATCATTATCCACCCGCTCATGCATTTAATTCTAACCAGAAACTTCATAAAAATCAAATGAAAAATGCACCGCACAAGTATTAAAACTTACATAAAATTCACATTCTACCCTTTCTTGAATTTCAAATTTCTGTATCCTCAAAATTCGTTTTCTTTAACTTACTGAACGAAACCACAAAGCTAATAATTAAGGATCCCAAACAGCAGCACAAAAAAATTGTTAATCAACGAAATTAATTCAATTTTCTTTTTACTTTCTTTTCCTTTTCAATCAACAGAGGCAAAAACAAAGCATGGTCTGAAGAGCAAGAAGAAGATCTTCGACAGTTATTCATGAGAAATCAAGAATCACCCGAAACAGATCAAGATGTAATTGACTGGATTGTTGAAAATTTAAAGGAACGAAATCGAACACGTCGTGGCGTTATAAAGAAGCTGAAAGAACTTGGATTAATATTTAAAGCGCCAACGAAAAAATCTAATGCTGCTGCTGCAAATAAGAATCTTTTTACGAAAGACGAGGACGAAAAGCTTCGAGAGCTTTACGATGAGCATCGTTTGGATAAGCATTGTTTGGCAAAAATCATGGAAGTGTTTAAAGGAAAACGTAGCAAGAAGGCGATTGTCAAGAGAATGATACAATTGCATCTTATAGCTGACGAAACAGAAATTTTACCACCCAAGAAAAGTCGCAAAAAGAATCATGAAGACGGTGACTCTGAGAGACAATCAGAAAGTGATGAACGCAGCGAAAGCGATGAAAGTGACAACGATGATAATAATTCTCGTATTGGAAGGAATTCACAACAATCAATGTCAGTATCAAGAAGCAATTATCAAATTAGTCAACGTGATGTGACTAACTACAGAATTGAATTAGAGGAATCGCTAAAGGAGGCAATCGAATGGATAATTGAATCATTAAAGGAAGCAGCAGAGGATTTTGAAGAAGTTTCGGATGAAATAAGTGATGCAATTCCAATTGTGCCGTATACTGAGTCACAAAAAATGGCATTAGACAATCCACAATTTCAAGGTCTTCTTCGTAGCATAAATTTAATTGAACCACATGATACAGAAACGTATTGGAAAATTCCAGCTAATATGTTACCGAATGATTTTCAAAAACGAGCACAATTGCTTGCTGGAGAAATTCCAACAATATCTCAACATGATACAGCTAAAAATAGTGACAGTGAGAATGATAATGATGACGATTCAGATTTATTCTCACGCCTACGTGCTCAACATAATGCATTGGTATATAATCACAGTGACAATGAGGATGATCGTCCAAAATCGTCTATTAGCAGCAAAAAGACGAATAAGCCACAACAAAAAGTAGCCAAATTAAATACAAAATTAATTAAAAAATTACATCCACAACTTTCTGTTGAGCATGGATCAACAATGCAATGGCTTGTAGAATTACTTGATGAGAAAATAGCAAATAAAGCCACTAAGTCCACATTAATTGATGAAATGTTAATTGTACCATCAACAAATGACCAAAAAGAATCACTGAAGGATGAAAATTTTAAGAAACTCTTAGCAGCTCTTAGCTTAATTCCACCAAATGGCAATGAAAGCTATTGGCAAATACCAGAATCATTAACAACAAAGGAATTAAAGAAACGAATGGAATTACTGCAAGTGAAAAATACTCAAAATGATACTACAGACGAGTCAGATAGTGAACAAATGATAATTAAAAGAAAGAAACCAAAAGCTACCCGAGAATCACAAGATGATGATGATGATTTTGGCATTAACACACAACAATTAAAAGAACGTCTTGCTGAATTAGAAAGCTCTTCAGATGATGACCATGATATGACTGACATAAACCAATCAACGAAACAACAGAATAAAAAGATAATAAATCGTCATATTCTTGATTCATCCGATGATGATCATAGCGGTGCTGATGATGCTGAAATGACTAAGCAAATCATTAAGGCTAATGAAATAAAGGAAAAAAGGAAATCAGAAAAGCGCGAACGTTCACAATCACCCGATGAGAATGAGATGAATGCCAGCAATAATAACAGTAATAATAATCCAATGAAAAAAATCCGTAGAATTATCGACAGTGATGATGATGAGTGAAATGGAAGGAAAGCCTTATAGGGGTTTGGCGCATTCATCTTTCTTTTGATTAGTAATTTTATTGATGTTTGAAAAAGTAAAAGAATAAGAATGAAGAAAGCAAATAAATTTAAGAATAAACTTATGAAGAAATTTTTATCACATTTTTATGAATTCAAGAAAGTTTGCACAGGTACGTAAATCGTCAAATAATGAATAATTTTGCCATTTATCAGAGAAAGTCACAATTATATTAATGTAGATCTACATTGAATTTTTAAAATCATGAGATACGCACTGGCTAATAGTTAAGGTCTGGAGAAATTTTTGTGAGCTACATCAAAATGCTAAAATGAAGATGGTTACTCACATGAACCCAAGACTCGAACCCAAGTTTTTTGAGGTCACATGCTCCTACAATTCGGCCGGATAATCTTAGGATTAGATAATCAATTTTTACCATGTGGATAATCCGAAATGTCAATCCGTTCACTTATTACGTTCTCATTTTAGGGGGGAGAGGGGTTTAAAAAATTGTAACAAATGTAACATAGGGGGGGGGGGGGTGTCAAGAAGTATGTAACGTTCTAAATGTCGTCTGTCTTTTAAAATAAAATCTTTCAAAATAAAATAAATTATGAACGTTCAGGGGGGGGGGGGGGTTGAGTTGTAACCTATTGTAATAAAGAGGGGGGTGAAAAAAGTCGTTTTTTGCGTAACGTAATAAGTGAACGGCCCCTAAGGGATCGGTTTAATATGGGATTATCCCAATATGGGACAGTCAATTGTACATTACTAGAACTTAATCCGAGCTAGAAGTGCCTGATTCGACTCAACGAACATTAGAATTGATAGAATAACTGATTCCTGCCAACTCCTTATCAATTTTTTGTGTTTTTGTTTCCAAAGACAAATTTTGAAGTTGTAAATTACGCTTCCTCGAGATTAACAGCTCTGACATCATTGAAAGGCTTGATTTCTTCATCAGCCTTAGAATTCTTTGTTGATTATTGACTGAAAACTGGTGCCGAATCTGTTCCAATTTCAGGTTAATCATCGTCTCGTGGATTTTTTAAGTCAAAAATTTGTGAATCCTTAAATCCAAAAAGCTGCTCGTCTTCAACGGAAACAATTTTTGCTGAACCACCGCCTGTTTGTTTTATCTCACGTGCATTATTCGAAAGACTTGACCTCTGCTTAGCTTTCATATTTTTAAACTTTGTCATCAGTTGCGTTTTTGTTTAAACTCCACTAGTTTTCCTGAATTGAAGTCCTTTCGTAATTTGTTCCCAATCCTGAAACATTCAAATTAATTTGAAATGGAAACAAAAAATATGTGAATCTTTAGATATTTGTCCCTTTTTATTGTTCTTGGTTATCTTCTTAATCGTTTCTGCCAAGTGATCATTTTCTTGACTACTAAAGACAGCTTCTTCATCCTTTTCTTAAGCCTGTCGTTGACAGAAACGACAGCTTTTATTGTAATTATTAACAGAAATAGGAAACTTAACTAATTCATGCATTTTAAGAATAATTCCTTAATTTCTACATTAAATCTACTATTTAGAATAACTGTTAATTGATTAAACTATCCTAAAACTAATGATTAATTATATTATACCTGATACGAACAATTCAAGAGTTTCGACCGTTACAGTTTCCAAGTAAACTTGTGAAAATGTCTTATTTGTCTGTCTGCCATACAAAATTCGAAGTTTCATACCCTGCAGTTCGAAATTTTCGAAAATTAGAAATAAATAAAAACTTAAATTAAACAAGTTTTATATGAAATATAGATGAAAATATTATGTAGTCATTTCATGATAAGCATAATAAAGCTAAATCTTTTTTAAAACGATCAAAAACTCTAATAAAATCACTAAAATTGTAACGGTTTCTTTCAAATTTAAACTTTTCGAACGTGCATATTATAACTCCCCTAGACTTTCGATAAGTCTGTCGAACATGAATTGTTCGTATCAGTATTATACAATTTGTCATTTACATATCATTTGTAACGTCTGCACTCGATTCAAATTACTTGTTACAATTACTCATATGCACCTGAACATTCAGGCGCAGTAACGTAGATTCTTTCATTTACTTTTAAGTCGTGAACGAGTGTAGCAAGCTACAAATTTCTTAAAAATCCGTAACATGTAAGACAATATAAGTTAAATAAATTAAACTATTACAACAATCAAAATTTACGAATTAAATAAAAATTATTAAACTACACTCAATCACATAAGCCATTCTGCAAAAAAAGACTGAACGAAAATAATTACGAATAACATTGGTTAGGGGCTAGCTGAACATTTGGCTAAATTCAATACACCCCACTCATTTTCTGTTTCTTTGTCATCAACATGATTTATCATTGACTGACCAATACATGAAATCACTTTCCAAAAATACAAACCTTAAATGAGAATGAAAGAAAATTATTCAATTCAAGCTCTAAATTTAACTTGTTTGAGTGTGATTGAATCAGCTATTTGAACACAAGGAATTATCTTTCGATAAAAGAGAAGCAGCAGAAAAAAAATTATCGAATAGAAAATTAATTGCTTATTTTTATTCGATCGTAATGTTTACACACAAGGATATACTAACGTGTATGCTTTTTGTGCCTGTAATATTTTATCATGTTTAAGCAGATATGAGTTCAAAGAGGAAGTAAAAATATATGTGAGAGAGGAACAAGAATTGAATGACGAAGCAGAAAAAAAGCTTGATGAAAGAAATAAGCGGAAGTGAATTCATTAAAATAAAATGAACGTGGTAAAAGTAAGGCAAAAGGTAGAAAAGGTAAATGCTCATTCAAAAGGAATAAATGAATGAAAAAAAAAGTTCTCTTCAATTTAATTAAATTGCGATTTCTTTGGGGAATTATTCACATATTTTGTCAATCTTTATGGAAGCAGCAATGGTTCTGCAAACTAGACATTTCAAGAAATTTTGAAGGTGGTTTATTATTGAGGGTATGCGTTTAAGTAAGTATGGGGCTGCACATTAAAGTTCTTCTGTTGACAAGCCTCCTTAAAAAGTTTAACAACGAGGAGATGGTGGACATAAAAATTCGATGTACGTCATTTCCAAACGACCACTATTGTGTATAGAAAAATCTTTCTTTTTTATTTCTCATCCACTCATTCTATCCTCTCTTTTTTAAATGCATATTTATTTTCCCACATCTCATTAAATGAATGGAAAGAAGTAGAGAATAAAACCGGCAATGGCATCAGTAGTGATAAAAAAGAAGAAGCAAAAGCGGAAGGCAGCAGCAGCAAAAAAGCTTTTAAAATGAATGAAATGAGCTTTTTTTTCATGAGAATAAAGAAGGTTCAATTTCTTTTAATTATTCTCTATCATGACGATGTCGATGATTTTTTTAGTACGAGATAAAATTAAAACAAGAAACTTTTCTGGGTGTAGAGGATGATGGCACATAAAAATTGGGATATATAAAGCACCTGCATGAACATTTTTACTTCTCTCTCAATTTTTATTTTTATTTTATTTTCACACTAGAGAGAAGCTGATAAATGAACTTTTCATGTGCATTTTCCATTAATTCTCATGGGAAGTTCAGAAACCACTCTACATCCATTCATCAATTTCAATTCTCATTCAATAATTTTCATTTTTATTCAAATTGCTTTCAATCAACATTGTCACATGATTGAATTGTTCGAGGGGTGTTAGCTGTTTGGTATATTTTTAAGTTAAAAAATTTTATTATGTATAATAATACCTTATTAGGAAATAAATATATAAGACCTATATTTAATATGAATTCAAGTAAGATCACAATAAAATGATTACAGATTTTTAAATCTAACGTATTTTTGAGATTCAAACTTATAACGGATTTTTCAAATTTAAATTCATTGAATGTAATATATATGTTATGCAAAAATGAGTCAAGCTGATAGTAAATATTTACTCTCAAATAAAATAGTTTTTATTAAATTGTACTTTAATTCATTTTTGTGGTTTTAATTTGCAAAAATATTGCTGACAAAAAAGAAAGCAAGTTAATAAAAACATAGTAATAACATAGTAATGATTAAAAATGGAAAGTTATCAAAATATTACAATAAACCTGAGTTTTAAGCCGTCCGGAGAGTTTGTGAAGAACTTATTACTTAAGACTTTTGATTTTCTACTATATAATCGTTCCCAAATCCCATTTACTGTCGAAATATTGCAACATTTTGTGAATAAAGGAACTGAAAATGATTATAAAAAAATTGGTCAAAAACACAAAGCTCAGCAGACGTATAATAACATATTGGAAGTAAAGCAGGTAATATCTCTCATATTTTAATAAGTTTAAAGCTATTAAAAAATCTCAATTACAGTTAATTGACGAGGAATTTTTTAATACCAAGTCATTTCTGATAATTTTTGGATCAACAATAATGACAGCAAAAGAGGCAATCTGGATCAAGTTTCCAACAATCACAAACTGTATCTTTCCATCATACTTGAATGAACTATCAATACAGAAGAAAATTTTGCTCCAATTAATTCAATCAGAAAATTTCAAGAACCTATTCTCTAATCCTCTGTCAATAACTAATGCATTCATCCTTTTCGAGCAATTCGATGATGAAAATTTGAGTAAAGGATTGTGTAAAATTAAAAACTTTAAGTTAAACAAGTCATGTAAAAAGTATGCGATAAGTTTCAATCATTCAAGTGATTTTGAGATATTTTGTGAAGACCTTCAAGATCTTAACTTAGCCTTTGAGGACGAAGAAGTTTGGTACCAGTCAAAAATTTTCATCAAAGGATTCAACAAAATTGCTGAAAGTCCTATTTAAAGTGTTTGAGGTATCGTGTAAAAAATTTCACAGAATTAGGGAACTTTGACTTCTTAAAATGACATAATAAAGTGTGAAGGAACAACAAAGATTTATGACGAAATTGAAAGACTGCGTAAAATTCATTGGAATTAAGGTAATGCTTAAAGGGGTAAAATGGCATCAGTGGTCTAAGTGGTATAGCGTTAAGTTCAATCCCAGGCTAAGTCAAGTTTAAGAAGCTTTTTTTTTTTCCATTTCACTGTTCTGGTTCTGTAGTTTTGACTTTTTGAGATCTTCAGCGGGATCTAGATGATTTCATTACAGCATATTGTTCACACGAATTGTGACTAGGTACATTGCAGGGTACATCAGTTTTCTTAGAGAAAAATTGGCAATGCAATCGAAGATCTTTAGTACTAACAGACAAAGAGCATGCTCTTGATCAAGAGTACAGTTGAGAATACGATTTTTAACATCCTCTCAAGATCCCAGTAAAGAGCATGTTCGATCCTCTAATTATAAATAACTTGCATGCAAGCTTTTACTTCATAATCTTTTATATACTCTCAAGAACATGATCAGAAGAGTATATAAAAATCATGATCATTCACATCCTCATGAGATTATGCTCAAATTTTTCTTGCTATATACTTCACAAGCGCTAGCAGAAATCACTAGTATAGTTCCTATATACTTCACAAGAGAAAGCAGAAATCACTTTTATAAGTAATTATTTTGGACTTTCTATAGTTTAAATATGTCTTTTCGCCGTTTGAAATTTATTTAATTTCAGAAGGCATTAGACAAGATGAACAGTTATCAGGACATATTACAACACAGCGTACTCGGGTTCGAATCACGGCAATCACCAAAGAAGAAAAAGATCAATTTCTCAAAAACATGATCAAGAGCACAATCACAAGATCATAAATTTTTTTAATTAGTAAAATTTAAGAATGATCAGCTGAACATGTTCTTGGTCATGATCTCAAGTTTAACTTGCATGTGAAATTTGCAAGTAAAAAGGCGTACTCTTGAGAGCGTGATTTCTGTGGTACCCTGCTACGATCTCTATTTGTATGGGCTCAGATCGTGCTCTTTGTCTGTTAGGGATTACCGTCCCAAATGTAAATTAAATATCACAAATATGCACTTAGATCCGTTAGTTTCCAGAACTTCTCACTCAATAGAATTCAGCATTCCAAAAATTGTATTTTATTGATTTAAGCCAATTCGAACAAAGCGATGCTGAAAACTTGTTAAAAATAAATATTTTAGAAAAGAAAATTTCAGAATAAATAAATTATGCAATAACTTCATTGCTACATCCAGCAAACTCATGAAAACTTACTTTATTATCGTTCCATTATTTATTTATTTTTATCTCATCAGAAAAACAAAAAAAAGTTTCACATTCGGTACGATGTCGTTGACATCAAAAAGTAATATTTCACCTGAATTTTAATAATTTTCTCAAATTTCCATATAAAAAAAAACAGTTTTTCCTCCCATTTTTATTATTGAATTATTGAGAATGACATTATCATGTCAATAAAGCGAGCTTTTATGCTCATATGAGACTGTAGAATAAGAAGCAATAAAGGATCAATTTCAAATATGCATTATTTTAATGCACTGACTCAGTGAGTGAAAAAGCATGACAAGAGATGATGAATATCAATATATTCATCGCGAGTTGATGAAAGGGTTTCTGACTTTGATGATTAAAGCTTTAAACAAATTACTTCCATTCTTCTCCTTGCTTCACATAATTAATATACACATAATTATTGTGTATATTTTTTTTTTGATGCATTCCTTAATTACATCGAGTAAGGGGCCGTTCACTTATTACGTTCGCATTTTAGGGGACGGGGGGGTCCCGTTTTTTCGTCTTTTTAAAAAAAAGTTCACGAAAAAAATTTGTTTACAAATTCACACCAAAAACAATTTTTTAAATTTTCCACCTTTTTATCAAAATAAAATAAATTATGAACGTTAACAAGGGGGGGGGGGGGGGGAGAGGGGTGGAAAAATCAGTTTTTTTGCGTAACGTAATAAGTGAACGGCCCCTAATAAAAATGTAAAATCGATATTTTTTTGAAAATAGCCTACTATGATCGAAACCAAAAATGCTTTAAATTGCAGTTTAAATCAAATCTAGGTATTATAAATGATAAAGAATGCTAGTATAGATATAAAATTTATATTTTTTTTTTGAAAATAGCCTCCTATGATCAAAACCAAAAATGCTTTAAATTGCAGTTTAAAACAAATCTAGGTATTATAAATGATAAAGAATGCTAGTATAGATATAAAATTTATATTTTTTTTGAAAATAGCCTCCTATGATCAAAACCAAAAAATGCTTTAAATTGCATTTTAAAACATATCTATGTATTATAAACGATGAAGAATGCTAATATAGATATAAAATTGATATTTTTTTTTGAAAGTAGCCTCCTATGATCAAAACCAAAAATGCTTTAAATTGCAGTTTAAAACAAATCTAGGTATTATAAATGATAAAGAATGCTAGTATAGATATAAAATTTATATTTTTTTTGAAAATAGCCTCCTATGATCAAAACCAAAAATGCTTTAAATTGCAGTTTAAAACAAATCTAGGTATTATAAATGATAAAGAATGCTAGTATAGATATAAAATTGATATTTTTTTTTGAAAATAGCCTCCTATGATCAAAACCAAAAATGCTTTAAATTGCAGTTTAAAACAAATCTAGGTATTATAAATGATAAAGAATGCTAGTATAGATATAAAATTTATATTTTTTTTAAAAATAGCCTCCTATGATCAAAACCAAAAATGCTTTAAATTGCATTTTAAAACAAATCTAGGTATTATAAATGACAAAGAATGCTAATATAGATATAAAATTTATATTTTTTTTGAAAATAGCCTCCTATGATCAAAACCAAAAATGCTTTAAATTGCATTTTAAAACATATCTAGGTATTATAAATGATAAAGAATGCTAATATAGATATAAAATTGATATTTTTTTTGAAAATAGCCTCCTATGATCAAAACCAAAAATGCTTTAAATCGCAGTTTAAAACAAATCTAGGTATTATAAATGATAAAGAATGCTAGTATAGATATAAAATTTATATTTTTTTTAAAAATAGCCTCCTATGATCAAAACCAAAAATGCTTTAAATTGAGGTTTAAAACAAATCTAGGTATTATAAATGACAAAGAATGCTAATATAGATATAAAATTTATATTTTTTTTGAAACTAGCCTCCTATGATCAAAACCAAAAATGCTTTAAAATGCATTTTAAAACATATCTAGGTATTATAAATGATAAAGAATGCTAATATAGATATAAAATTGATATTTTTTTTGAAAATAGCCTCCTATGATCAAAACCAAAAATGCTTTAAATTGCAGTTTAAAACATATCTAGGTATTATAAATGATAAAGAATGCTAATATAGATATAAAATTGATATTTTTTTGAAAATAGCCTACTATGATTAAAACCAAAAATGCTTTAAATTGCATTCTAAAACATATCTAGGTATTATAAATGACAAAGAATATTAATAAAGATATAAAATCGATATTTTTTTGAAAATAGCCTACTATGATTGAAACCAAAAATGCTTTAAATTGCATTCTAAAACATATCTAGGTATTATAAATGATAAAGAATGCTAATATAGATATAAAATTGATATTTTTTTGAAAATAGCCTACTATGATTGAAACCAAAAATGCTTTAAATTGCATTCTAAAACATATCTAGGTATTATAAATGACAAAGAATGTTAATAATGATATAAAATCGATATTTTTTTGAAAATAGCCTACTATGATTGAAACCAAAAATGCTTTAAATTGCATTCTAAAACAAATCTAGGTATTATAAATGATAAAGAATGCTAATATAGATATAAAATTTATATTTTTTTTGAAAATAGCCTCCTATGATCAAAACCAAAAATGCTTTAAATTGCATTTTAAAACATATCTAGGTATTATAAATGATAAAGAATGCTAATATAGATATAAAATTGATATTTTTTTTTGAAAATAGCCTCCTATGATCAAAACCAAAAATGCTTTAAATTGCAGTTTGAAACAAATCTAGGTATTATAAATGATAAAGAATGCTAATATAGATATAAAATTGATATTTTTTTTGAAAATAGCCTCCTATGATCAAAACCAAAAATGCTTTAAATTGCATCCTAAAACATATCTAGGTATTATAAATGACAAAGAATGTTAATAATGATATAAAATCGATATTTTTTTGAAAATAGCCTACTATGATTGAAACCAAAAATGCTTTAAATTGCATTCTAAAACATATCTAGGTATTATAAATGACAAAGAATATTAATAATGATATAAAATCGATATTTTTTTGAAAATAGCCTACTATGATTGAAACCAAAAATGCTTTAAATTGCATTCTTAAACATATCTAGGTATTATAAATGATAAAGAATGCTAATATAGATATAAAATTTATATTTTTTTTGAAAATAGCCTCTTATGATCAAAACCAAAAATGCTTTAAATTGCATTCTAAAACATATCTAGGTATTATAAATGACAAAGAATATTAATAAAGATATAAAATCGATATTTTTTTGAAAATAGCCTACTATGATTGAAACCAAAAATGCTTTAAATTGCATTCTAAAACATATCTAGGTATTATAAATGATAAAGAATGCTAATATAGATATAAAATTGATATTTTTTTGAAAATAGCCTACTATGATTGAAACCAAAAATGCTTTAAATTGCATTCTAAAACATATCTAGGTATTATAAATGACAAAGAATGTTAATAATGATATAAAATCGATATTTTTTTGAAAATAGCCTACTATGATTGAAACCAAAAATGCTTTAAATTGCATTCTAAAACAAATCTAGGTATTATAAATGATAAAGAATGCTAATATAGATATAAAATTTATATTTTTTTTGAAAATAGCCTCCTATGATCAAAACCAAAAATGCTTTAAATTGCATTTTAAAACATATCTAGGTATTATAAATGATAAAGAATGCTAATATAGATATAAAATTGATATTTTTTTTGAAAATAGCCTCCTATGATCAAAACCAAAAATGCTTTAAATTGCAGTTTGAAACAAATCTAGGTATTATAAATGATAAAGAATGCTAATATAGATATAAAATTGATATTTTTTTTGAAAATAGCCTCCTATGATCAAAACCAAAAATGCTTTAAATTGCATCCTAAAACATATCTAGGTATTATAAATGACAAAGAATGTTAATAATGATATAAAATCGATATTTTTTTGAAAATAGCCTACTATGATTGAAACCAAAAATGCTTTAA